ATTTATAGGCAGAATGATGATCATTGATCTAGATAGTTATCATGCCAACAAATGCAACCTAGTAGATACATGCAACTCAGAAGACAAAATTAATTAACTGTTAATTTATGGATAGACACAACTCAAAAATTTAGACCCGAGGGAAGTAAAAATTCAAACTAGTGCGAATTTAAATTCAACGGATACTAGAAATTAAATTATGGATTAAGAAATTCATGCGCTAAACGAATTTTCTATAATAAGATAAAGATTGGTCTAAACCACACCCACACTCGAGCTCAGCTGGACAGTGGTTGTGTGGTTGAACTGATGACATGTATACGCTTGCTCCGCTCATAAAAGTGTGGTACTACTTGGAGAGAAAACTTGACATATATATATGCCCAAATAGAATTCCTTTCTCAACAAATGTGGGAATAGTATCAAATCCCACAATACACAACTTTTATTTTCACAATCCAAATTGGTTACTTTGGAGTCTATTTTCTCATTCATTTCTTACTCGATTTGAACAAATGAACATACTACGTTATTCTTCTTACGCAGTAAAACATGAACTCGCAAAAATTTACTAGAAACAACTAGTAGGTTCCACTTTGATTTAGGCTGAAAGTCAACTAAAAATCAGATTTTAATTGCCAAAACCTACCTTAGTCCAACAATTTTATCAATGTTGTGGTAACTATTTATATTACTTTCTTCTATAAAAAAAATTATCACTTTAACAGGTAATTTACTATTTTTGTGTATATTTTTACCACTGTTGTGAAAATTATTTTCACTATTTTTTTTTTGGCATCACAATAATATTAAAAGTACTCATAAATATGAGTACGATACCCAAAAAAGAACTCAATATCATAGACAATTGCAGCTTTTTAAGATGGCCAGAGAGGCTTAATTTTGATCAAAGCATTGGAGGCAACTCAAAGGCTTCGAAAGCTTTGATCTGAAATAGAATGTGCTGTGTATTTTATCTCAAGTCTCACCATTTGAGCAGCTCAAAAAAATTTGGAAATCTTAAATTAAATTACGAATTGTTGTTGCTAATCTGTGGGAAACTTGTCGTCCTAGATTTTTTGAAACACCATTTACATTACAATTGTGTTGGTCCAAATCTCTCGTGATTGACCGATTTTTCTCCTTCAACAGACGAAATATTTCAAGTGATTGTTTAAATGGGGTTCAATTGTTTTATTTTAGAATTTCTTTGTATGAAAACAATTGACCTAATTTAAGTAAAAGAGAATGATTTAAGAAAGATTAACAAAAGATAATATTTTTATTTATAATCTTAAAAGTGTCTCCTTTTTCAATTTTTTTTTTTGAAGAAACGGTCTTAATTTCAATACTAAATTCCATCCTAAATTAATTAGAAAACTAGTATTAATGGTGTCCATGTCGTGAGAACTGTTATTTTCTTCAATTTCAAAAATCATATTAACTCATCCTAATTCTTTCTTTGATTACTATCAAACGTCTTACCAAACCAAGTGACTTATGTTTTCCACATTACTCTCCAAATTTCAAACGTCATACCAAGTGGCCTATCTTTTGCACATTACTTGAATGCCAACCAGGTGACAAGTTCGTTGCTGATTTATTCTTGACATGTTTCTTTCTTGTACACCCCCAAAATAATCGAAAGATAAAATCATGCTTTTAAAATTTATTTACCAAATATTTTAGCACGAGCCGTGGCGGAGCTTCACCATGGTCTAAGGGGGCCATGGCTCCCCTCTAGAATTTTTAGAACCCTTAGAGTAGGATTATTTTAGTTCTCTTAGAAGTCTGTTGGTATAGAAATGAACCCCTAATAGAAATTTTTTTTTGGGTAAATCTCCAATAGAAATCTTCTTTACTTATGCAATGACTATTTGTGAGCCCTTTAGTCTAACAAACTATTCAACCGAACACTTACCAATCCTTTTATGATTGGCAATTGAAAAGTTTCCTAATTATTTTTCATTGAAAAGTCAACTTAGCAAAACAATTATTCCTTTCAAAGACTTTTTTTCCTTTATACGGTTGTAAGTCTAACTCCATCAAAAATTTGTTCATTAAAAATTCGGTTGTTTTTTCCGATTGAACTACTCTTACGAAGAAGTCATTTATCTTTTTGCTCAAGATCGATTGAATTTCGGCAAGGGATTGATCGAAATTTTGATAGGTCTCTTAGGGACTCTCAAATTTTGACGAATTTTTGAATTTGAAGAAATGAAATATTCATGTGTTGATTTATGCTATATATTTAAGAATAAAATAATATCTTAAACCAAATTTTCTCGTCTAATATTTGATTCCCTCAAAGATAAAATCCTAGCGTTGCCCTTGAGCACAAGCCATCTGTGGATGTTTTGAATTTTCTCAGGAGCTTAATCAACAGTGATATTAGTAGGACATTTGGAGATGATTTTCGTAGAAGATGTACCTTGGACTGGAAGAGAATGTACCATGGACAAGTTAGGCAAGACGCCCTACACATGGTGAATAAGAAGACGTGTATTACCAGTAAAAAACAGTCAAGATCCAAGTCGGCTTCCAGAGGCTGCCTCTTAAGCTTTCCATCAAATCTGTCAGCGGAAGTAAATGGTGAATGTAATAGTGATATTTTATTATTATCGTTACATAATATTATTATTTAATTTTAAAAAAATAAATAAATAAACAGATTTCTATCACTTCTTTTTATGCGCGAGATAGTCATCGATGGAATTCTAATGAAAAATTTTAAGAGTTACCGTCTCAATAATATTATTGGACAACATCATCAGCACACCATTAATTTGGTTGTTAATTGTGAAGAAAAGCATTCGCTATAAACTAAAAAATCTTAAATTCATAAATTATTAATTCTTTTAAAGTTAAATCGTAAGAGATTTATTCTTTATAAATTCTCTAATTTTAAAATTGATTACCTACACTTAATCGGACTAGAGAAAAAATTAATTAAAACGTGTGAAAATTGACACAATACTCCTAAATCTTAATATTAAAAAATAAAAACAAAAAAAGAAGTTTCGTGTAGGAAGGTAACCAGAAGATATGGTCAAAGCTAATAGGTTGGGTTGATTAGGTATTTGACAAAATCACACATACCCATCAGTCTTTTAGCTAGACTAGACTTCCGTAGTTCGTAATCGTGTTTTGCCTGGTCGTGTTGGTATCGGGTTATTTTAGGATTATGTTGAGTATTAATTAATTTTCATTCAACTTATTTAATTAATAGTATCGTGTTGACTTATGTATTTTCATGTTATGTTCGGGTTAGCTGATGTCAATAAAAAATTTAATCCTCAGTTTTATGTATAAAATTTTATTATCGCTTAATCAAGCTTTTGCTCATATTTTTTCTTTAAATTAAAAATTAACTTAATAAATATAATAATAAAAATGAGTAAAAATATATATTTTTTTGGTACACAAATTAGATCTCTACTTGATAAAATATAACAAAAATTCACATTTTATTCTTATAATACTATTTAAACATATTGATTGTATTTGATACTAATCTAACTCATTTATTATTCGTGTTAACGGCTCGTGTCATATACGGGTTTGTATCGAAAAATAGCTAACCTTAACATGTTAATTTTGTGTCAATTTCAAGTCATGTTTTCGCGTTGTGTTAAAAATTGTCACTCTACACTTGTGTAGAGACGAACCATTAAATTTTTAACTGAATGATCACGTGTTGAACACATGATACCGTCTAAAAAAATAACACGTGATCATTTTTGTAAAAAAACTTGATAGATTGTCTGATTAAAGACTAAAGTGACACAAATTTGAATATTTAAAGGGTCAAATTAATAAAATTAATATAATAAAAATTAAATTAACAAAAAATACATTTTTACGGAACCAAAAATACTTATCAACCCTTTTCTTTACCATAGTCCTCGGGGTGTTTTTAACTGGTAATACAAGAACGATTTGATGGAGAGCTTGAGAAGCAGCCTCTAGACACCAACTGGGATCTTGACTGTTTTTAAACAATAATACAGGCTTCTTAATCAATACGTAAGGCGACAAAAACCCTTATCGTCCTGCCTAACTTATCCAAAAGTTACATTCTCTTCAGGTCCAAGCTACATTCTCTTTACCGCAATCATCTCCACAAATATCCTACAAATATCACTATTGATTGAGCTCGTGAGAAAATTCAAAACATCCATAGATGCGAAAGGATGATTTAGTTGTTATACGGGATAAACAGCAATTAAAGAAAGAATTAGGATCAGTTAATATGACTTTTGAAATTCAAGAAATAACAGTTCCCATGACTTGGGCATCACTAATAGTAGTTTTTGTGTTAGCTTAGGATAGATTTTAGTATTGTAATTAAGGTTGTATCAAGTTTTCTTGCAAAGAATTGGATTTTACCCATTTTTCGTGTCTTGAGGTTTGGACCCAAAGTTTTTTTGTATGGTAAGATTAATCAAATTAAAGTAATAAAAGTCCTAATACCTCCCATCTTCCCCGATTCAAGCAAATTAGGATGGATACGTGTAGTGATAATTCAAAAATACACTATTTTTTGAGGACATAATTGGAGATCGAGGTTAATGCAACATTTAAAAACTGTTAATTAATGGTTAAGATATCCCTGCATTAATATTATAAAAAAAAGTCTAGTGGGAGTCAGGAATAGTATAACTACGATCAATTGAAGAAGAAAAGAAATGAATCAAATATGAACTTTCATTGTCCTACTTAACTCAATAGTTAGAGTCTTCTTTACGGCATCTGTTCGCCACCCCCAAATTAAGATTGGTACGTGTCGTGATGGCTTCATATTGTTAAAAATTAAAAATTGATAATCAATAGTTAAAATGTCCATATCACCAGAAAAGTCTCCCCACCCCCTCCTTCCCCCATGCAAACCAAAACCCAACCCATCAAAAACATGCATGTATATACCCCACCTCTTCTACGCTAAAACCCACATCATAAGAGACACCAATTAAGCCAAAATAAAGAGGGAGCGAGAAAAAATGAGTTTTTGGGGGTGTGGTGTTGTTCTGTTTCTTGTCTTTCATCGCAGCCTTGTCTCAAGGCGATGTCGGGTCGATTATCAGTAAAACTCAATTTGATCAAATGTTGAAGCATCGAGATGATGCGGCTTGCCCTGGGAAAGGGTTTTACACTTATGATGCTTTCGTAGCTGCAGCCAAGTCATTTGGATCTTTTGGAACAACTGGTGCTACAGACATTCGTAAGAGAGAAATTGCTGCCTTTTTGGCACAAACATCCCATGAAACCACAGGTATAATGTTTCTTACAGTAATGTTGGCAACCATGTCCGGACCCACATGTTAAAAAGATAGGAGTAATGCTAATGGACCTAAGATTTGCTGACATAATGATTTGTTGCTCCTGATTCGACTTTTATTTTCCTTGAAATTCTAATTTAATTAATCCGGTCTTGGTTTTTGATATCGTGTTTGATCAGTCCCGTATTACTCTATGCCGAGGCTCTCCTGTATGTTCGAAAAATGACATGCATGACCACAATGCACCAGGGGAGGAGATAATTAGTGATACATAAACAGGAGTTAAACTCTAATGTTCTGTTTGGTATGATGAAAAAATAGAAGAATAGAAAATTAGAGGAATAAATAAAATATCATGTTTGGTAAGGAAAAAAAATATGAATGAAGAAAAAATTGATGAATTAACTTTTTTCTTCCAACTCACCAAAATTAATCCCTAAAAAATAGGAAGGAAAGTGAATAAAAAATTAATTATTTTTATTTAGATGTATTTTATTTGTCTATATATTATGTATACATTAATTTCATATAAAAAATACAATGATAAAATATGTATTTATATATATACACATATATATTTTTAAAAAAATTAAAAAATAAAAATTTTAAATTAAAAAAATATTTTTTTTTATCTTTTAGGGGTGAAAAATTTCGATTCAACACGATGACACGACTCGAATTCGACACGAATTTTATGACACGAACTTGATTATAACTCGACACGAACTTGAAATGATCTGACACGCGAATAAGAAATATAAAAAACTTATAATATTATGACCCAACACGAATCTGACACGAAATCACTCGATTGTCACCCATAATATTACACAAAAAAATAAAATAAAAAAATTGGTCATTTTTATTTTTCATCTATCCAACCAAACATAAAAAAAATATATATATATTATTCTTACATTTTATTTTTAAACGATTGAAAATGTATATCTCCTACTTCTTACCAAACGAAGTATTAGTTAACCAGCAAATGATACAAAAGAAAAAGAAAAAGAAAAAACGTTCTTGTCACTTTGGGGTTTGTAGAGGATCTGGTTTATGTATTCATACCCGTGTATGTGGAGGCTATTTCTGTGAAACAAAAAAGAATAATGATAACATGATTACTTATAAGTTTTGGATGGATTAACATAGGTGGGTGGCCTACAGCACCAGATGGTCCATATGCATGGGGATACTGCTTCAAAGAAGAACGAGGCAACCACCAGACTATTGTACTCCAAGTCAACAATGGCCATGCGTTCCTGGTAAGAAGTACTATGGTCGAGGCCCCATCCAAATCACACAGTAAGTGTTTGTCTTTTTTACTTTTGGTTAGATAATCAACAGATTAGAACATGTTTTGTCCTCTTCTTCTGAATTGCATCGATCACAAAACCTTAACTTTGTACTTGGACGTCTACCATGACTTGCCAGCAATTACAACTATGGTCCAGCAGGAAGAGCCATCGGAATGAATCTGCTAAACAGCCCCGAAACCGTTGCAAACGATCCAGTAGTTTCTTTCAAGACAGCGTTTTGGTTTTGGATGACACCCCAATCGCCAAAACCTTCATGCCACGACGTCATCACCGGAACATGGAGGCCATCGCCAGCTGATACAGCGGCCGGTCGTGTCCCTGGCTATGGTGTGATCACCAATATCATCAACGGTGGAATTGAATGTGGTAAAGGAGTAAGCTATGGCAACAATCTGGATTGCTACAACCAGAGGCCTTTTGCTTAGGCATTTAAAGGGACCGCTCGAGTCGTCTCCAGAGTTACTTACAGGAATAAGATGCTTCATACATGCTTGTAATGTAATGAAGCAGTAATAAATATGCATAGTTTGGCTTACCAAAATAGTAATTTGGTGCCAAATATATGTCTGTATCAAGGAAATGATCAATAAAACTTCCCATATTTCAGGTGATGACATTTTAAGGATGAAGGCGGCTTATTATCAAACCCTTTGAGTGTATTTGGATAGTGGGATAAAGAGGGTTAATACCCATAATAATAGGTAAATAAGGTAGTGGATTACATTTATTCTTTGTTTTGGAACTTTTGGAGGTATGATAACAATTTTGGGTCAAGCCTCGACCCAGTTGTTTTAGTGGTTCATACTCCCCCACACCGGTTATAATTAACCCACCCATCCATCGATTATAAACCCAGTCAATGGGTTACTCCCCTACAGACATATTTGCCCCTCTTTCTTCTGTCACTCTCATCCAACATCACTGTGACTGGTGCACAGAGACGACGAAGAAGACGGGATTAGCCATCAATCCCCCCCCCCACCTCTCTCTTGCTTTATTGTCGAAGAGGACACCCAACCTCCGGCGATCTCCACCTTACTCCGGCGTTGTTGATTGTAGTATAAGGAGTGATTCGTCAGAGGTGGTTGGCAAAAGGATGAAGCCCACTTAGGCCTCCGTGGGCCCATAAAATTGAATTGTTCCTTCCCAAACAATGGTTTGAATTGGATAACAATACAACTCATCCAATTAAGTGGTTTATTGGGTTTGGGTGGGATGGGTTAGGAAATAAAAAATCATATCCTTTCTTATCCTTGGTAGTTACCCAAACGCACCATTTGTTATTAATTTGGTTGTCGCTGAATAAATTGATTTGAGACCGTCAGATGAATTTATATATATTGATTTTCTATTCTCTTTATCATTTTTTTTTATATTTCCAGACAGAGGGAATATAGATAATCCTATAATTTTATAAAAATAGATGATCATTTTTTTGGGGTCCCAAAACCAGGGCGACCCCAAATATTTTTGGGCCTAAAGCAGAATTAATAAATTACACTTTTTTTTAATATGAATAGTAATTTTATTTAAATATTTTTTATTTTTTTAAATATAAAAATATTAAGTTTTAATATTCAAACGATTGTTATATTCAATCTTTTGAACTTGATGGTGAGAGAGGGAGAGTGTATGATGGAATTTTTTTTTTTTTTTTTTTGGGGGGGGGGGGGGGGTTGTTTAAGGCTTGATTTTTAGTAGTGTTAGTTTTACTATTAACTTTTTTTTTTCAAAAAATTGAATTTTAGAGTTTTTTAATTTTATGGACTGAATTAATAGGTCTAATACACTAAAGTTGAAATTTTTAGTATTGTTAGTTTTACTATTAACTTTTTTTTTTTCAAAAAAATTGAATTTTAGAGCTTTTTAATTTTGTGGGTTGAATTAATTAATAGGCCCAATACACTCAAATTGAAATTTTTTGTATTGTTAGTTTTACTTTTAACCTTTTTTTTTCAAAAAATTGAATTTTAGGGCCTTTTAATTTTATGGAAATCATGTACCATCACCTAATAAGATATTTTTATTGTATTATTATCAAAATCAATTATCTAACTAATTGTCTATCTACTAATATTTATAATTTGCAAATTTATTATTTTTAGTTATAATTTTTCATCTTTATACATTTTTTAGACTATCAACGCAATATATGCGTTACACGTGAAAGTTTTCGTTAAAATATTTGATAAAGTACATAAAAATTTAATTATATAGTTAAATTTGATATTATCTCATATTTAAATTGTTTGTATTATGACTGCAGAGAAAAAAAAAACCTATATCGATTTTTTAGTATCGGAGATAATATTGTATCAATGAAGTTATCGATGTTTATTAATATTGAGGTTTTAGAAAAAAAAAAAAAGAATAATATTTTTATATACGCTATTAAAAGTAACATGATAATTTAAAAGTTTTTCAAAGATAGATATTTATATGATATGTTAAAGATTAGTTTGTTTTTTAAATATAAAAAGATATAATGGTAATCTGCATATTTAAATATAAAAGATCAAGTTAGTCTTTATAATTTTTTATAAGGAAAAAATAGTTAATCAAAAATTTTTCATATAAGGTATTTTTATTAGTAGTATATAGATATAGATATAGATTAAATTAAAGTCAGTTATAATCTGGGTTATATTTTTTATTAATTATTTTTTAAAGCGCACAAAATGACCAAAAAATAGTGTGAGTAGGTCTCGCTTTTCCAAACTAATTGTAACCACATTTTTCTCGATAAAGTTTTCCTTTTTAAACATAGTTTTGGTTCTATGCAATATTAGACACTGTACCAAAAATTTTAATTTTACATTTGCTTCAAAAAATTCAATTAGTATTTTGGCATGTCAAAAAGTAATGTAATATTTTGACAATAATTTACTACTATTTATATTATTTTGATAATCCTTCCATGGTTGATGCGCATGCTTTTATAATTCTACCTTGTGATGCACAAATTACCAACCAAAATGGGCAGTCCTGGTTGTGGTCCAATGCTCAAGGTACCAGTGAGTCAGGGCATTGCAATTTGCAACGACAGTAACATTGATGTGGGGAAGAAGTCAGCTGTGTCCTAATGACTTTGCAGGCCGTTTGAACTATATCGCGGGTTTGAATTTTATCAATCGCTCCTCTATAAACTTTGCAATAGTGACCCAAAAATCATGGGAAACAAAAGATAAGACGAGATCTAAATTTAACGATTGGGATTTAATTATAGTATCGATAATAATACTTCTATACTATATCCCTCTCTCTTCCTTTTTTTTTTTTGTGTGTATGTCATTACTTTTATGATCAATAGCTACAAATGAATCAACTGAAAATTTATGATCATGACTAACTTTATATTATTGTTGCTTCAAAATTTGTTTGGATCAATAAATATATTGCAATCAACAGACAATTTTTAGGCAATTGTTATAAGGAGTTCAAATGTCTCCTTTCATAACTTTCTTAGATGAAAAATAATGAACAAACACACAATACAACGCACTAATAAAAGAAGACTCTTTTATTAGTGCAATCAAAATGACTTTAGTTACGGAAAGACTAAATAAACAATTTTAATTACAGTATTAACTGTTTCCTAAATAAATCTAAAACTAAACCTAATAATACCCAAATCAGGGGTCATCGAGAATTTGAGTGTATCCTTCATTTTCTCCGCTATATATCCCTTTATAGTCATTGTTTTCGACGATTTTACTCTCATCAACAG